CCTTGATTTTTGCCGAGGGGGTGTCGCCCTGGAACCGAAGTGTGCGCAATGTTTTTTTTGGCATGCTCTTCTCACTCTCAGCAGTGCACAGCTATGGTCGGTGATGCAAGGCTTGTGCTGTCGAATGCTGTTTTGTTTGCATGCTGTCTAGCTGCTCTTTCCGCTTGTTGGGTCAGTTCGTGGGCGTGCGTGTTGCTGTCGGTCTATTATGCGTGGTTGTCGATGGTTTTGAGCTTTTGTTGTGACCTTGCCGATGTGCTCAGGGTCCCTCAGATTGTGGGGTCAGGCCTTGGTGTTTCCATCTTGTGCCTTGCCTCGCTCGTGTACTTTGGTTCGACTAGTATTGGGAGGTGATCTCCGTCATCTTGATGCATGTCGAGGGTGTCCACCCTCTTGGACTTTGTGATCGTGCTGATCTGGTCTGTTGGGACCGCGATGTAGTCAATTCTCCCGGCTTTCCCTTGCTTGTGGTATGTGCAGCCGGGTCTGTCTGTGTGAACTGCTGTGTTGACCTGCGGTCGTGTTGTGTTGTCTGAGGTGCGCGTGTAGTAGCCTCCCTCCTGCGTCCTCTGGCAAAGTGACGCCTTCGTCTCCGATGGAATCGGACGTGTTTTCGCCGGTTTTACCGTTGGTGCCGATGAGCAGCATGTCGACTGGAGAGCTCGGTGTCCTCTGATATGGCGCTCTAGAACTCCTGTTCATTGTTGTTGGTGCTGTTGTTGTGTGGCCCATGCGCGACTGCTATAGTCATTCGGAGTCCGTGCGCTGTGATCCTTGTGATGAGCCTTGGTGAATGCCGAAGTACTTTACAATGCTGCGGTCGGATGTAGTGCTTCTTGTCCCCGTCCTCGTAGTATGCCAGGTCGGTGTTGATGAGAAGAGGGCATCCCAGGTTGTGAATATCATGTCCTCTGAATATGGTCCACAGTCCGTTTGCAGGGTGGGATCCTCTCGGTAGCCTAATATCCTGCATGCCGATGAGGTGTATGCTAAATTGCTTAATTGCTTTAGTTGTATTCTTTTTGCTGTGATCCTGGGCACTTTCCTCTGCTGTCTGCCAGTGCGCTCGGGGTTCTTGAAGCTCCTGATGTTGAAGGTCGTGGCCTTGATCTTGATGGGGATTTGTGTATCTTAGACCTTCGTTTCCAGCGTGAAGTGTTGTGGATCTGCGTGTGTTGCGGGAACTGGTGCCGTGAGTCTGCTCTGGGTCATCTTGGGGTATGTTGTTTTGAAATCTTCTTCAGCCTGGGCAAGCCACTCCAATTGTCTTTCTGCTGAAGTGGAATGTCTGTGCCCACTCAGGTTGGGGGCTTGGGTAATGAGCCTGCTAGTTCGTTCCATGGATGTCCCTGGTGTGCGTCGACATGGTCCGTATGCAGGTCAGTAGCGGTTGTTGTAAGGTCGTGTAAGATTCGTGTAAAGTAGTGTCAGGTTTCTTTGATTACTGGATTTGTATCTTCCTTCCGCTAGTCCAAGAGCCGCCTTCGAGTTAGGGTGGACTGTGATGCTAGGTCGTTGCTTGCTATCCGTAGTACTGACGTAGGTCCATGCGCACGCCCGTATGAGGGCAGCCGTTTCCGATGTAGTAGAGTTGTAAGGAGGTCCTTTGTCGCCGTTCCTGTCGAAGTCGTCCGTCTTTGCGGCCATTGCGCAATGGCATGCACAGCCGTCCTCGTCTTCTGCGACGATGACGGCTGCCCAGGCGTCCTTGTTCGGATCGATCTGGTGCGTGCCGTCTGTGTAGAGAGATACCATCGATTGATGTGGTGTGTCTCTCTCTCTCTCTCTATCTGGCGGCATCTGCTTAGAGCCATCCTTGCAGCTGGATGACAGACCTCCTGCTCGTCGATGTCGTCGAACTGGGCGTGGAGAGGGGGTAACGATGGCGTCGTCGAAAAAAAAGGGCGAGGGGGTCCCTATGCGTGAAGGCTACCCTGACCGTAGGCTGGTGCCCGCCGTCCTCGTGCGGGGTCCCCGGCGTGCCGTCGCTCCCTCCCGGCGGGCCCGGTGCCAATTGGTGGCTGCGGCCTCGCACGGGGCGCCGTCTTCATTCCCAGGTTTCTTGTGTGCTATTGGTCGGGCTGGGCTCGTCTTCTCCCGTGCTGACTCCTGGCGTGCGCCCCGTCTAGAGTTGCCGTGTCCAGTCGGTGTACTTCCTGTGGTGCTGGCGGCCGTGTCACCCGACACCCCGTGTGCACGTCTGGAATTGCCTCGCAGGAGGCCTCGTATATTCATTCCGTAGATGTCATCGTTCATGTCCCTTGTAGGTACAGTACAGAAGACCCTCTGCTTGGCGATTCTGAAGGCTGCCACTGCTGGGGTCGGTCATCGAAGCCTTGGTTCTTCAACTGTACGAGAGGTTCTGTGGAAGGGCGGGTGAAACTGAGCTGTCTTGTGTAGGTTGGGGGTGGGCGCAGCCTCTGAATCTCCACCCCTCTTCGTGCCCGTTTTTTTACCTTTCACCAAGTGCGGAGAGGAGGAGGAGGAGGAGGAGGAAGAGGAGGAGGAGGAGGAGGAGGAGGTGGAGGAGGAGGAGGAGGAGGACGAGGAGGAGGAGGAGGAGGAGGAGTTCGTCGTGGCGTCCTCCTTCGCGACGGCATTGACCATCCTTGAGAATGGTCGCCATCAGCTGGGAGAGCGAAGAGCGAAGCCTCCTCTCTCGGTGTGGCTGGATGTCGTGCTGCTCGCCCCAGGTCTTGTCATTGTCGCGTCGCTTCCTTTGCCTCCTCCTCCGCCTCCTCCGCCTCCTCCTCCTCCGCCGCCTCCTTCTCCTCCTCCCTCCTCCTCCTCCTTTGCCTCCTCCTCCTCCTTCCTCCTCCTCCTCCTCCTTCCTCCTCCTCCTCCTCCTCCTCCTCCTCCTCCCAGTCATTTCCATGTAGTGGCATTCCCGTGCTGGCTCTAGTGTCATTGGCTCGTCTGGTGCTGGCTGTCTTGGGGGTCCCGCTCCCCATACTGAAGCCGTTGACATGAGGTCTCCGCTGGGGATGCTCTGGTCGTCTTGTCCGCGTTCTGGTGTTGACACATCCTGAAGTGCCATGCCTCGTGGTTGTTCTCGTGCTTCGGCGATGGACTCCCCAGGTCCGCCGGTGCGTCGGGTGAACAGGCTCTCGTTGGTGATTTCGACCTGTCTCTGGGGGTCAGCTGCTCTACTGGTGTAGATCCCCTTGTCGCGCTCGTCTATCGGTGCTCAGAACGGCACGGGTATGGGGTGGGCGTTGACAGGAATGCTTCACCTGGCTGGTGCTTTCGTCGAGGATAACTACGATATCGTCTCGTGGTATCGGCGTTACTGTGCCGTCTTGGTCGGTTCCATCGGTCGGTTTGTGGAGTCGTGGGCTCATGTCTTTAAGGTCGGCGCACATCTGGTAGAGCATCTCGGCTTCGTCCAGTGCCTTCTTGAGCTCCTACTCCCTCTGCATTGCCTCCTGGTGCTCGTTGTGGTTGTCGTTGGCTCTGATGGTCTCCCTCTGCAGATTCGCCTCCTTTGTGGTGACCCATTCTTTCCATCCTTGACAGGGTCCTCTCAGGAGGGAAAGAAACACACAGACACAATTAATCGTCGATCCCCAGGAAAATATGGGAAAATACGGGAAGTGGGGGGGAAGGCAAAAACCTAGAAAATATGGGGAAATACGTGGAATCTGGTTATTTGTGTGTATTTATTTGTGTGTCCCAGGGACCCTTCATCCTCTCGCTTGGTTGATCTCCATCTTGGTTACCACAAGTGCCTGTTGTTCGTGATGTGCTTGGTGCTCTGCCAGTTCCCTGTAGGCGCATCGTGTCGTTGTTCTTCTTCGCGATCGTCCCGTATGCGTGTTCCACATACATCCTATCCAGGAGGGAAACAACACAGGCACAATCAATCGTCGATTCCCCAGAAAATATTTGAACATATGGGAAGTGGGGGGGAAGGCAAAAGCCAAGAAACTATGGGAACATATGGGCAATCCTGTTATTTGTGTGTATTTATTAGTGTGTCCCAGGGCCCCTTCATCTATGTCCATCTGTTAGCTTCGCGCATCTTCTTGAGCTTCTGCAAGCGCCTGCTTTTGCTTCTGTACCTCCATCTGCTCTCGTGTGTTGGCCTCCTTGGCTGCGTCGTACATCGCCCTGGCCTCGCTGGTGATGAGCTGAGTCCTTGCTTCTCTTGTTGGACTCGGATGTTCTGGCTCTCCTCGAAATCCTTGACTCTGGATTATTATGGTTGTGCTTCCTGCAGCTTATTGTGTTGGAGGTGCTTCTTCATGCCGACCTCTTGCTTGAGGCAATCAAGTTCGCTCTTGTGATCCTGTTCTTGCTTTTCCTTCTGCTTGTTGCTGTCGTGGCATGTCTTTTCGTATCTGGACTCGGCTTTCTGCAGCTCCAGTCGGAGGTCGGCGATGGTGTCCTCGTTCCTCTGACTCTCAGTCTCGTCGACGGCGGCGTAGTGTTCCGCGATGCAGTTACCCTGTCTCGATGCCTCCTGGAGTTCGTCGGTGATGTACTTGCCGTTCTGCTTCATGCTGGACCCGAGTTCGTTTGCTGTTTCGGGCTCGGTCCTGAGCGCCTCCTCCCTCCTCCTCGACTTTGTATGCAGATCCTGGCGCCGTTCTACTCGTACTTCTTGGTGTGGTTCACGGTTTGTTGTTGGAGGTGTTGTTCTTTCTTCTCGTGTTATGGTGCTCCAACCCACTTTAGCCTTGATCGCGATAAAGAATTTCGAGCCCCCCAAACAAGTACCAAAACTCAATGGTTTTCACGTGTCGGGCCCTGGGAGACACGACACTGTTTCGACACCTTTCTGGGCGCTCGAAAGTATTTCTGGGATGTGGTCCTTAAGTACGACGGGAGGAACTGAATTCTCGTGTTTCTTCTTGGCCGTATGGATCTTGCTATCGCTGTTGGCCTTCAGGTCCCTGACGGCCTTCAGAAGCTCTTGCCGTTCGTCACTGAGGGTGTTTATCTCCTTGCGGTACTTGTTGTTGCTCTCCTTGTTGGCTATGTCGCTCTCGTACTTGCCC